GCTATGATCATGAGTATTATGGGTAATGTAGTTTTTCAGACTCACCGGACAAGTAATAGTGCCGAAAATGATATAAGAGAAGTGCAATTGAACTTAGACCAAGGAAAACCAGCAGAGCTACAGCCCAGGATGCAAAAAGATCTGTGGAGACAAAAGAAGAAAAATGGATGGATAGATGGATGTATGAATGAATGAATATGCTGATGAAGATTCTCAGTCATTCAGGTCATGGTCATTCTGTAAAAGTTCAAAAAAAATTCACTGGACTTGGTTTCCAAGATTTGAAGACGTTTCACTACCTCGCTATTTTTTTCGCTATTTTTTTTTTACTTTAACGGAATGAATGAATAATTGAATGAATGAATGGACAGATGCTAAATAATTTCTCTTCTGCTTCCAGATCTTGATGTTTCAGAAGAACGGTCTCATTAACTGACCTGGTGGATTCAATATTTTCAGATGCTATAATCTGATCTGATTAGTGGAAATGATTCCATCCATCTGGATTAATTCAAGTTTCTTCTGAAAACTCCCCTTGACTGATGTTCTCAGAAACCCTGATATTATTGACAGGTTGCGGATATAACTGCGGTCCAACCACACACAGCCGACTAGATCCAGGAAAACAGCACAGGGAGGGAACAGCAGGGTCACCTGGGCAACTGGAATTAAATGCATGTTCCCAACAGGAACATGCATTTAATTCATATTAACCATAAAATATTAAACTTTTTTCTAAAGGCTATCATAAAGGTCCCAGTGACACTGTGCGCTACACTAACTACAGTAGATGAATCAGATCAGTAACATTATGGCACATTAAAAATGTCATTTTATCGAACCAATCCATAATAAATAGAACACCTGAAACTCTTTAATTGTACTTTTATTTAAAGGTTTCCACCATATTGTTGATTCGATACCATGAGAACTTGGCCTGTTTTGAGGTCTAAACTGGTACCAGCTCGGTTCTGTCCCACATTATCCTCTCAACTGTAATCTGAGATGTTTCTCTGTCACATGAAGAACCAGGAAGCTGCTGGAGGGTCTGATCCAAACGTAAACAGACTCACCTGGAGGAGGAGGAGCTACATCTAGCTGGACGGTGTGGACAAGTTTTTCTTTAGCTATCCTGCACTGGTACGTTCCTCTGTCATCAGTCCTCACGTTCTTCAGAACCAGAGAAACGTCTCCATCTGTGATCTTTCTCTCCTGCAGAGCTACTCCGTTCTTAAAGTAACAACGCTGGCTTTGTGGATCAATCCGATCATGTTTGTACACCAGGATATATTCTGAGCCCAGATCCACTCTGCTCCACTCCACAGCTATGATGCTCCTGTTCCCATGAGCTCTACATGGCAGAATGATGTTCTTTCCAAGTTCAGCTGTGATTTTGATGGTTCTCTGATCTGCAGTAGAGAAAACAACACAGAGCAGAAAGATTAAAGAGGTCAAAGTGGACCGCTCTGCTTCCTGACCAAAGCTAGGTCAATGTGAAAACGACACATCAGCAAAAACTGAAACCTTTAGAGGAGCTTAACTGATTAAAATAACCCTGAGATCAACACATTGCTTCTCATCCCTGCAGCTCATCCAATTCTGCATTTTGACCAATAGAAAAGTTCAATAAACAGCAGAAAAATCTAGCCAATGAAACAAAGCAGAAGGTTAAAAAAAGGGGTCTCCCTCTTCTTTTCCATATTCTCTCTACTTATTCTGAATTTACAGCTCCGGGGTTCAAAACTGCAGCATTAAATCCGAATCAGAAATACTTTAATGATCCCAGAGGGACATTATCTTTGCTACACACTCCTGGTATACAAACACTACATTGCACACATTCATCATCTAAAGAAATAAAATAAAACAAATAAAATAAAACACAAAGACATATATATATAAATAAACATATATAATTTTTTTAAAGATCTAAAAAAACAAAAAAGAAAACAAATGAATCGTAGCTATTGATCATAAAAACAACTTTCCACAATAAAGATAAAAATATAAATACATACATATGTGACTATATATATTTTTTTAAACAGATCTACAATGAATCGTAGCGATTGATCATAAAAGTTCCATTAATCAATTAATTTGACAGAATGTATCATATGCAATATTAAATAAACCACTTTAAATAGGATAAAGTTTTACTCTAAATAGATATTTTATTGATACTGAGTGGATATCAATATTTAATTGATCATTCTTAATTTGATTAATTTCCCTCTGAAATTGATAAAGCATTTTTGAACTGAACTGGTTTGAATGATGCATATAATTGTTATAATAACATTGAAAGTAGGACAAAATATGAGAATCCAGGACGCTTTATGTTATATTTTCCTCCTTTGAAGAGTAAAACAATAATAATTTCTAAAGATGTCACTCTTGTAAAGAGTAAAAAATATTTTTGATAAATTTTGGACAAAAGAAAAGACTAAAGAAACAGAAGCGTGAGGTTCAGGTTTCATTCATTAAGGATTTATAGATTTAGACAGTTTCTCATCAGGTGGCCAGCAGAGAGACAAGGTTTGTTTTTCAGGAAGGTTACGCGTGCCACTCGCAATATGGCGGCGGGATCGCAGTAAATGGTTGTTATCGACAGAATAAAGTCATTTTTAAGGCAAACATTCTTCCTGTCTGTAAATAACTGTAAACAGTTGACCTGTCTGAGTCTCACCTGTAGAAGCAGCCTGGAAGAAGCAGGCGGCAGACAGCAGAGCCCACAATGAAGCAGTCAGTAAAGGATTCATTTCCGCTTTGAGCCGATCTGTTTCTCTGAAGCTTCATTCAAACATCCACAACAGAGAAAACATTAAGAAAAAACACTAAAGTTGAATTAAAACCTCCGAGCTGAATCTAATCAGACCCAAAGGAGCGGATCTGTGTTTCACTGCGAGCTTCAGCAGAATAAAAGCTGAAAAAGGTGGAGCTCCTCTGAGTCTGTTTCTATTTTTACACCATCAGCTGAAGGGAAACTGGAAAAAGACTGATTTAAATACTGACATCTGATGCAGACAATGTGAGTACACCTATAAACCACAGAGGATAAGAGAGAATAAGGACAGAGGTGGATAATTACTAATTACATTAAGTCAGTTACTTCAATAACATTTTGAAAAAAATAAATAAATAAAACTTTAGAAGTACTTCTACTGTTCCATACTTCTGATTTTTACTCGAGTAATATTCTTGTAAAGTCTCGCTTCTCCTGCTTGAGTAAAATCTCTGACTTTTCTCTGTAATTTGAACTAAGATCAGATAAACATCCAGTAAACAGGAGAGGTGTCAAAGGTTTCCATGTTTATTCCTCCAGTAGAAGAAATCCTACTTTCTAAAAACACTTTTTAGGAAGTTTGAGA